TTCTCTTTATTTATTGTAGGTCAGGTGAGAGTGCATGGATTATAGTGATAAAGAAGAAACTGATAATGGTGAATTCTTACGGGCAAATATTGCAGGAAATTTTGGTGTTTGTAAACTAGCAACAGCTAATGTTGTAGTGTTGTAATATTGAGGTAACGTCGTTGTAACATATTTTGCTTCGTATCAATAAAAGTGCGAGTTATAAAAATTACTAAGTGCCCACCTACGCTTTCAACAGAAATAAATTTCGATCCGATTTTAAATGTAAAGTTTGTCAAAGAGAGGTAGGGGACAACGTTTGTTACCTTCCTCCACCTCCTCCATTGGTAAACAAGAATATGATTTACATGGTTGAATCATGTGGTGAATATTTTGCGATTCGATTGAAATTTCGTGGCTGCATATTGAAAAGATGGCCAAGCAAAATCATAGATGTTGAAGTTTTCAAATTGGATTTGACAAGAAAGATATGGGAGAGGGTGGGGGCTATCGAAGAATATTAGTTAGATGATGTTACTGATACGGAGGTTGTGTTTCATGCTCATCAATAGAAGGATCTAAAAGAAAAGGAAGCTGCATTTACTTGGTGGGTTGTTTTTCAAGAGGTGAAAACATGCTCTTGATGAAGAAGAATCTATGTGTTTAAGCTCTTGAAGAATAAGGAGGAGGAGGAGGAGGAGGGTTAATGACGTTAAGTGTCACATCGGCAAAAATTAGCAGAGATAACGTTAGTGACCTTATTGAAAATAAACTAAATGTTTAATAATTATATTACATGTTTCAAAAGTTATGTGACCAAAATGGAATATATCTAAAAGTTTGCGGATTCTTTATATACTTTACCCTTTATTTTAAAAATTAAAAGTATAATAAAATAGTAGTTTGAGTTTCGATCCCGAAGTACGTTATCAAAAGCCTACCGATTATCAGAAGAAGGAATACAGGTTGTCTCGAGAATGCAAAATTATCAATAAAAGAATTGAATCCTATATAATATATAACTTAAAGAAAAAGGGAAATAAAGAATATAGGTTGTTGTTGTTCTTGCAGAACGAAGGAAGCTCTGCTTGTGTACAAAAACCCAATTGCAAATCCATCCTTCTTCTTCCGCAACAATTAAGGTGCTTTTCCCCTTTCTTTCTTTTTGAGAAATTTTTATCTTCCAGTTCAATTTTTTGGGATTTTGAATCTGTTTTATCGTGGCGTGTCTGATTCGAAGAGCTACTGTGAGTGTTTCATTTTTTTCAATTTGTTTCATAGGCATTCAATTGATTCCGGATGGATGTTGTTCTTAATTAAGCTGGTTTCCCCCTTCTTTTAACTAATTGAATTTTTCTGAACTCTCGTCGGATTGTTGTAGTTGGGAATTTGGTTTTTTTTTTGGGTGACGACTGATATAGAAAATTTACAATATTTTCTTAGTATTATTCTGATTTTGGTTCACTTATAGTTATAGGTAGGGAGAAAGATGTTTTGACGTATGAATTAAAAGAAAATAATTTATATATAAAAATGCTTATTTCTTAATCAAGATTTCTTTCTGAAACACTTACCTGAATTGGCTATATTTGGGCAAATTAAGAAATGGGATACACATTTTTGACAGTTTCTCGGAACTGTAATGGGTGTTTAAGCCGATAGTTGCTTATTCTTTTCACTGTTGTGCACCTCAAATGGTTATCTTTGATTTTGGCATGAATAAACCTATGTATATAATAGGTGGTAATTGCATATGTTCTCAGAGAGACTGAAACTAGACCATATTTATTGTGATAAAGATGGTCTAGTTTCAGTTCTCAGTTTTAGGGAAAAGCGAATATCTTTTTACTCATCTGTTTTCTTAAATAACTTTCCAATTGTACATAATTCCAGTTTTTCTTGTCATAAAATTTGTAAAGGGGATTGTATCTCTCCCTTCTTTTACGCTTCCATTCTATGTAGATGAAGTTAAATGCTTATTCTTTTCCAATTTGTCGGATCTGATTATTTTTGGATGACCTTTCTTCTAATAGATCGTTTTACTCTGTTTTTCTGTTCTTACCTCAGATACAATAGAGCCCTTATGGTTTTGATCAGGTTCTTGTAGAAAGTTGATATTTTCGGTGTTGGTTAAAATCTCTAGCCATCAAAGGTTGGTTAAATCTTTTTGGCATTGATATATTAATATATTGCAATATCAAGATATTAATGGGGGCGTTATTAAGCCTAAATAGTTCTAGGACTGGAATGAGTGAGCCCTTTGATTCACAAAATGAAACATGCAAGAGGCAGAAGATGTCATCTTGTCTTTGTGAGGAGAACCCTAGATTGATTCCCAGCCTTCCTGATGAGATATCCTACCAGATACTTGCTAGAATTCCAAGGATTAATTACTTAAATCTGAGGTTAGTGTCACAGGCCTGGAAGGCTGCTATCATGAGTACAGAACTTTTCAATGTAAGGAAAGAAATCGGAACAACAGAAGAATGGCTCTATTTACTGACAAAGATTGGTGGTGACAAGCTTTTGTGGCATGGTTTGGACCCTTTGTCAAGAAGATGGCAGAGGTTACCTCCGATGCCAAATGTCGCTTTTGAAGATGAAACAAGGAAAGGTTTATCTAGCCTTCGGATGTGGAACGTAGTGGGTCGAGCATAAAATTGCGGATGTCATAAGGGGTTGGCTTGGGAGGAAGGATGCCTTGGACAGAATGCCATTCTGTGGGTGCACCATTGGTGTTGTTGATCGTTGCCTCTATGTGTTAGGAGGATTCTCTAAAGCTTCAGCTCTGAGGTGTGTTTGGCAGTATAATCCAGTCCTAAACTCGTGGAGTGAAGTAAGTCCGATGTTAACTGGTAGAGCCTATTGTAAGACTGGTATCTTAAATAATAAGCTCTATGTTGTTGGAGGGGTTACCAGGGGTCGTGGTGGGTTGACTCCACTTCAGTCTGCTGAAGTATTTGATCCTCAAACTGGTATATGGTCCCAAATACCAAGCATGCCATTTTCAAAAGCTCAGATTCTACCCACCGCCTTTCTGGCGGATCTACTCAAACCCATCGCCACAGGAATGACATCATATAAGGGAAGGTTGTTTGTGCCTCAGAGTTTATATTGCTGGCCCTTTTTTGTTGATGTTGGAGGGGAAGTTTTCGACCCTGACATAGATTCATGGGTTGAAATGCCAGTAGGCATGGGTGAAGGTTGGCCGGCAAAACAGGCAGGAACAAAATTGAGTGTCATTGTGGGTGGGGAGTTGTATGCACTTGATCCATCTAGTTCTCTTGAAAGTGCTACCATCAAGGTATATGATCACCAAGATGATGCATGGAAGGTTGTCGTAGGAGAGGTCCCCATTCCTAACTTCACGGATTCAGAGACTCCATATTTACTTGTCGGTTTAATAGGAAAGCTTCATGTAATTACTAAAGATTCAAACAACAATATCTCGGTCATGCAAACTGATGTGCAAAACCATTTAACTTCCCTGCCTTCAGCTTCATCATCATCATCAGATAACTCCTCTGATGTTCATGCTGAGCCTTCGGAATCTGCAGCAGCATTCCAAACAAATCCTTGGAGGGTTATTGCCACAAGGACTGCGGGATCTTCAGAAATAGTAAGTTGTCAAGCCCTTAATATTTAGTGCCTTCATAAGGGTACTTAGGAACCTAAATTGTGGCGTTAACCTTCTGAATATTCAATATCCCATTGTATGTTAGTTGCATTTATTTATTTTTTCCAAGAAATGCTGATTTTAGAAGCAGCACGTTGAAAACTTGTGTGTTTATATTATAACCTTTATCCAGTATCCTTGTATGATGTAAAAAAATGGATTTTTCCTAAACTGTAAGGCAAGATATATAGCTCAAATTATCTTTCGACCTTGTTTTCGTGAATTGCTTGTTTTCTAGTCTCATACTTACCATTTCTATCTACTCTACTGTTTTTCCTTCTTTCAATTCTTTTCTCATTCTTTATGTTTTATTTTAAAGTGTACCTTGTTGAGGAGACGTTGCTTCAAAAACGAGCAATGTCTCTGTTTTTGACTTTTGAGTTTTTACTGTGATTTTTCTTTCTCTATTTTTGTGTAAGCTTTTAATTTCATTATATACGAAAGGAAGTAACCCTCAAGACATATGCTTGCAACCAGGCCAGGGATGGTCATGCGTTGGGTAGTTTTTGGCTCACCCAAACCCAACCCGAAAATTAAATCTATCCACCTGCACTCGATCGGACCTGGAAATAAGGTCTCACCCGACCCCAAATCTGATCTAAATTTATCCAACCCGTATATATATCATTTTTATTTGGCAAAATAAGGACATAATTGGAAATAAAATGGAAAGGGATAGTATTGCAATTATCCCTAAATATATTACGGATGATTATAAAATCATATGAGGTCGAGCTTTTTCACCCCAAATTCAAATTCGACCATAACATGAATTTTCAAAATTAAAAACCGACCCGACCAGATACTAGTTAACCTCTTAACCATAATCATTGTGATAGCTTAATAGACCACTGAACAGCAAACAATAGGTCTATTATCCTTAACTTGAGAAGGATTAACAGTTTTTAGGGACCAATACTATTGTTGAATTGAATGCTGGAAGGTTAAATGTATCATGGAAAAAAATATCTTAATGCAGCTATGAAATCAACACCGGTAATCTCCCATGCAGTCCTGAAAAAACATTGCAGGGTAACCCTATACGGCAACTTTAAATAATCAGAGCATTTGACAGAACAACAACCTGAGCAGATTTTAATTCTTTCCTCTTCTTCTCAACTCCATGGGAAATATTGAACTAAAAACTACAATTATTAAAGATTTACCTTTGAACTTTTGTGCAATTGATTTGATATGTAATTAATAATATTCTGTAAAACGTATTAACATTTTCTAATTACAATAATATTTGGATATCATCACGCAAAACAGTAATTTAAATTTATAAAATGGAATATATTAAAAGTAATTTGCTTTATTTTAAGGTGAGTTTAGTGTCTGCCAAGAACACATTTTGTGGCATTTAAAACATTAGGGATAAAAATTACTAGCCAAGTGCGTTAAAGGAAAGATCCCATCACTTTAAGCAAATATAACTACAGAGACAAAGAACAGCAGAATAGCTCCAAAAATAGCACCAATGGCGGTATTACCTGTCAGTACAAACTACAAAGTCAGATAAAATATACTATTCTTACTACCCCAGTATCATTAACATATCATATACATGAATTTTGATTTTTTGTAATTATATTCGATACACGGAAACAAAAAAAAAAATTCCGGCATCTTTCATGTCTTTTATATATGAGAAAATAACCTCAGTGACCAAAAATGCCTTATAATATACGATTTTAACCTATTCTTACTACCCCAGTATCATTAACATATCATATAATACATGAATTTTGATTGTAATTATATTCGATACACGGAAACAAAAAAAAATTCCGGCACTTTCATGTCTTTATATGAGAAATACCTCAGTGACCAAAAATGCCTTATAATATACGATTTTAATATCTTTTTTTTGGATTTGCCAAAATGACCAACTAATTCGCAACGCGATATCCGTATCGTAAATCAGTTTCCAGATTCGCAACACGAACTTCGACTATCGCAACGCGAACTTGGACTATCGCAATGCGATTTACATATTCGCATAATCGCATTGCGATAGTCCAAGTTCGCGTTGCAATAGTCGAAGTTCGCGTTGCGATTTTCCAAATTCGTTGCGATAGTCAAAGTTCGCGTTGCGATTTTCCAAATTCGTTGCGATAGTCGAAGTTGCGTTGCGATTTATTCCAAATTCGTTGCAATAGTCGAAGTCCGCGTTGCGATTTATTCCAATTCGTTGCGATAATCGAAGTTCGCGTTGCAATTTATTCCAAATTCGTTGCGATAGTAAGTTCGCGTTGCGATTTATTCCAAATTCGCAACGACTGGTGGTATTGCTTTGTTTCTTAAGATTTTCTCTAAAAAGATAGTATTCGCGCGGACGTGTCGAAGACACGTATTACCACGACCCGTCTCGTCGTCTGTCGTGGTCGTGTAATGGTAATACGTGTCCTTCGACACGTTAGCGCGAATACTATATTTTTAGAGAAAATTCTTAAGAAACAAATGCAATACCACCAGTCGTTGCGATTTTGGACTATCGCAACGAATTTTGAATAAATCGCAACGCGAACTTCGACTATCGCAATGAACTTGGAATAAATCGCAACGCGAACTTCGACTATCGCAACGAATTTGGAAAATCGCAACGCGAACTTCGACTATTGCAACGCGAACTTGGACTATTGCAATGCGAATATGTAAATCGCAATGCGATAGTCAAAGTTCGCGTTGCGAATCTGGAAACTGATTTGCGATACCGGAGATCGCGTTGCGAATTATCGATCGCATTGCGATTTAGTTGGTCATTTTGGCAAATCCAAAAAAGTTGGTTAAAATCGTATATTATAAGACATTTTTTGTCACTGAGATTATTTTCTCTTTATATATTCGAAGGTTATGAAACCTAAGTCCTTATCATTGCATTTGTTGGAGATGCGCCTATGTTTTTAGAATGTGTACAGTTGAATCAAATTAAAGTTTGTGCTCCCTATAATATATCAAATCAAAATTTATAGATCAAATTGCATATTTGATCAAGTTCTTGTGTAAGTTTGAAATTTCCCCTAAAAAATATTGATACAGATTAATAAGAATGAAATGGAGATCAAACCTGATGAGTTGAAGCTGTAGTTTGGATAGGGGAGGTGGAGCAGGAGGAAGATAATTGAGTGGATTAACAAAACTGTGGAAAAAGAGGTGCACCAACTTAGGAGACTACACTAAGACTATTTATATTCATGAACAAATGGGAACAAGTAGTGGCAGTGAGATAGCATAAGAGGAAGACCTGATAGGATTGAAAATGAAAAGGAGCCATTAACTGGAATATCTCCTACTAGCCGATTGTTTGAAAGATCCCTGCATCACATGGTAAAACATCCCACTCCATTATATATTGTTCTTCAAGCTAAGGTAAACAGCTAATTTGAAAAGAAGAAGAAATTTCTGATAGCAACACTCACAGCACTTGCAGTGTATCAATAGTAGTTAAGGACATTGGAATTTGACCTGTCAAGGAGTTGTTGTTGAGACGCCTGTTCCATATATAAAAAGGAAAGCATCAACTACATTGCATTTTGATTTCCAAGCTCCATGAAAGGAAGAAGAATGTATTCTTACAGGACGCTCAACTTTCTTAGCTTGCCCAGAGAAGTTGGAATGGGTCCTGTTAAAGCATTCAAGTAAAGTTCCAAGTTCACTAAGCTCGTCGAATTTCCAAGTTCCTCCGGGATTGTCCCAGATATGTAATTACTACATAGCTCCCTGTCATAAACAATCGACTAAGTATATTGGATGAATGTGCAAACGTAATCACCATCGACTTACAAGTACTGCAAATTCGAAAGCTGCCCGAGTTCTGGAACAAGCTGACCGATAGATTTGCATTCCTAAGATCACTAAATTGACAAAGGGAAAGCATTTATCACATCAAACTAGCAAATCCGAAGAAACTGAAACACCAACTGAAATGGCAAAAAGATGTATAAGTGAACTTACACTTTGATCACACTATTTTCATTGTTGCAAGTAATATTCTGCCATAGGCAAGGGTTGAAATGGGTTGGATCCCACTTGAAACACGTTATTGGGGTCAGCCAAATTGATCTTCAATGCATTCAAAGCATCACCTGTTTAAACACCAAGACAAAGCGATCTATTATTGGTAATCCAAAACCATCAATCTCAGCATACACATCTTCAATTATTAATCTCACTACGTCAAATCCGTTTTGTGAGGATTCGAAGAAAACTATTCCATATTACATATACGGAATTTTTTCTAGCACTCTTGCAGATAAGAGAATAGATATAGCTGCTCTAACTTGGATCTTTAAGAAAAACAACATTTCTGCCACTGATCCTACCCAATGAGTTCGAGAAGCGTACTTCTCAATTTACGAGAAAGGGGACCACATAAAGGACTCATTACACAAACCTTCAATTAATGGATACAAGCGCGCAAGTATCTCTACAGACAAGTCAATTAGGTTGACCACTACTAAAACTAAACCAAAACAGAAGAGAGAAATAAGGAAATAAGGGAAAGACCTTCAGCATTGCCTGCAACTCTGGAAACCAAATTCAACGCCAGAATCAACCATAAACAAACAGAGATGCGTCGCTCCATCAATTTCACCGTTTTTTATCCTTTCTTTGTCTTGAGTACTTTGATCCGAACTAAAGCTAAAAAATTGATTCAGAGAGAAGTAATGTTGGTGAGGAAAAGAAGAGAGAAAATACGAGGAAACTATGGAGGTGACAAGTGAGAGAGAGGCTTAGAGGGAGGCACTTTTTTTCTTTTCCATTTTTCGCTTTGTTTTGCCAAGTCGAACTCAAAGTAAACGTCATTGACTTGATTGGGAAAGAACAGTGATGACAACGAAGGTCAATTTTTTTTCCCAATAGGTCTATTATCCTTAACTTGAGAAGGAGTAACAGTTTTAGGGACCAATACTACTGTTGTTGATTTGAATGCTGGAAGGATAAATGTCTCATGAAAAAACATTACCATACTGCAACTATGATGAAATCAACTCCTGTAATCTCCCATGCAGTCCTGAAAAAACAGTGCAGTGTAGCCATTAGACCATGTTGTTAGGGTTGTAAATGAGACTAGATAAATTATTAGCTACTTGATATTGATTCGGTCAAAGTTAATCAATTTTCAAATCAAATAGACTCGACTCAAACTCGAGCTCGAGCTCCAACATGAGCCGAAAGAGCTTCTTAATACCCGACTTGGAAAGCTCATGAACAACTCCAGAAAATAATATATTAAATTTTAAATTAAATTATTATTAACGTTACCATTTATATGTTATTTTTAAAAAATACAATGTAAGCCTTTTGTGTATTGAATATATGTTCGAATTCGAATTTAAGCTTCAATCGAGCTAAGTCTGAGAATATTTCGAGTTAGTTTTTTTCGAGCTTGAGTTAAGCTCCAATTTTTTATTTTGAGTTGAGCTTGAAAACTGTAAGCTCGCGAGCTTTCGAGTTGAGTCTAACTTCAATTTTTTTTTCATGTTCTTGTCAAGCTTGACAATTTTAACCTCGTTAATTTTCGAGTCGATTCGAGTTCAGTTTTATATTTTTCAAGTTGAATAGAGATAAATACTATTTGAACTCAACTCGACTCGTTTACAACCCTACATGTTGTCATACATTTTTTGCATTACCTCTGGTGTTTATGAAATTTGAATAAACTTTTAAAAATAAAAGATTATAAAATAAGATTTGAATAATTCAAACTTTTTAATAATTAGTGAATTGATTGTTAATTACGAGTCGAGTAGAGTCTCTCAACTTTATATGATATATGTATATCGCATATAAAAATATATGAAAAATGTATATGTATATTTATATAATTAAAAAATATTTAAATTGAAATCAAATAGTACCATAACATTATAAATATGACAATTCTACATGATTTAACTAAAAAAAACTAAATAAAGTTTAAGTTATAAAATAAGACTTTTCAACTCGATTAATTCAAAATATTTTACTCAACTCGATCGAATACCCACTCACTCTTATGTTGCATGAGAAAAATTTACCTAATAAATTTTAGGCACAGGCAACTCATACTATAATTTTAAGTATCTTGTCTAGGTTTATACATGGTGCCCGTGTTTCCGGTCATTTTTTAGCGTCTAATAATATTTTCGGTCATTTTTTCAAAAAATCCGATTAAAACCTCAATAATAACAAAATCGGTCATTTTTAGCGCCTAATAATGTTTCCGGTCATTTTTTACCGGTTTTGTTATTGTTTAAATAACAAAATCGATAGCGCCTTTTTTAACCATATATTAAGGCTGTCGCACGTTAGCATTTCACGGTGCCCGTGAATTGCATCTCAAGACTGTCAAGAGAATGATTCGATATATCAAAAGCACAAATAATTTTAGTGTTAAATTCACAAGAAGCAAGGAGTTCAAATACAGTGATTACGCAAAATTGAATCGTCCTCAATCTAAATCGAATGAACAATGCATTACGAAAAAAAAAAGAATATATACGCAAATGTGAACGATGCACGACTCTAATTCAATTCCGATCATACATGTTTACTTGTTCAAACGGTAAAGAAACCGAAATACTCCCATCTTCAAGGTTAAATGCATACATGTTTTCACCTCTTGAAAAACAACCCACCAAGAAACGCAGTTTCATTTTCTTTTAGATCCTTCCATTGATGAGCATGAACACAACTCCATCTCTGTAACAGAAGAAGGCATATTCCGATAGCCTCCCCACCCTATCCCACATCTTTCTTGTCGAATTCAACTTGAAAACTTCAACTTCTGTGATTTTGCTCGGCCATCTTTTCATAGCGCTGCCATAAAAATTCACTTGAATCGTGAATAGTTCACCAACCATGTAAATCATATTCTTGTTTGGTCCAACGGATGAGGTGGATGAGGGTAAGCAAACCTTATCCCCATCATCTCTTTTGACAAGCTTTACATTTAAAATCGGATCGAAATTTATTTCCACAAAATTTTCCTGCAATATTTACCCGTAAATCTTACCTTTGTAGCCTGTTACATTAGTGATTCTACCTTTAAATCGGCTCTTCTGTTCATTTAGATCGTCCCGCTTAAAATTCACCATTATCAGTTTCTTCATTCTCACTATCGTCCATGCACTCTCATCTGGCCTACAATAAACAAACTTGTTCCGAAAAGCTGTTCAAACAGTATTGGTAAAGACAGACAACACAATTGGGATCATTAGGAGCTGATGAAATTGCACATTCATCGAATGTTTCAGTTAGTCGAGGTAAGTGAATCTTCTCCATGGTATTCAGATTAAGCAACAAACAATCTGAACAATCCCGACCGACTCGGAATAACCAACCAAAAGAACATGCTGCCGTTCGCATTTTGCAAACTTCAGGCATCCCTGCAACGTTGTAATAACTATCGAACATATTAAAGAACACTTGCTTGTTCGAGTCTTTGAGATTCGTCATGAGAACGTATGATGGATGTGCGGGAGGGGCCGGCATAACGATCACTCTTGCGGTCGAAGGAATGAAGTTTTAAGGATTTGGAGGCCATCTTAGCTTGTCTTCCATATACGTAGATGCGGTTGGTGTAACCCAACCACAATGTAGCATCTGTTTCGTATCGTACAAATCTTTCTAGCCGATGATAACGCGAGTGAGTGAAATTTGCGTGATGCAAGGGAATAAACAAGCCATTGCCTCCACTGTCAAAGATTGGAAAACATATGTTATTCCCCATTGTACGAGATTGCATGGAAACACACCCTGTTCTACTGGCAAAATCATCGTATCTCTTAAACTCTCAACTTCTTCCCATCTGAATTGACGGTCACAATTAAGTCGAAAAACCATGACATACTTTCCGATACGGCCGACGCATATCGAAATCAGTTCGCCGTTCAACTCAACCAAAAAGTTCTCTTGGATTGACTCACAAGGATGTTTTAGCTTGTCGAATATTCTCCAAAGACGGTTGTCCCTTGTGTTAGCATCAAAGACACCCAATTGCCCATCTATGCTTAAACAATATAAAGCACCCTTGTAGAAGCAATCAGGTGAAGTTGGCGGAGATGAGAAGCACATTCTGGCACAGTATTGAATGTGTTTAAGGTATGAAGGCTTAGAATGGGTATGGTCGATCCTTTGTTTGGTGAATGGTGGTATAAAAAGAGTTGAGCAGCCTGGGACATGAGCAACCAACCATAGTTGGAGTGGCAATGTTGAAAATTCAACTTAACATGCAAGTTGATGCCAACCTTTCGGTGGACAAAAATCTTTCGGTGCATTTGCATTAATTGGCACCAAATTGTTGATTTTTGGACAATGGCTAAATCATAATTTAGTCATTAAACTTTAGGGTATTTACAAATTAGTTCTTAGGTTTCAACTATAAATACCCTAGCTCATTTAGCTTCAAAATCATCCCAAAGCATTTCTAGCTTCTTCCAATACTAGAGAGAATTTAGAGAGTTTCTTGAGAGTTGTTTTCTCCTTTTTATCAAGAGAGAATTATCATTGTTTTCTTCTTGGTAGATCGAGAGAAGTGTAATTCCTATTTTCTCATAGTGAAATTCTTCTACCGTTGCCCGTGGTTTTTACCCTATTTTATTTAGGGGGTTTCCACGTAAATTTTGTGTCTCTTTTTATCTTCATTTTTTATTTTCTCAAATTATCAGTTGCGATTTTGCTCTATCCGATAGCCGTCTTCCGCAAAAATTGGTATCCGAGCCAGATTAGAGTGTGTAATATCTGCTTATTGTCTTTGTGGTTGTCACCAAAAGGTGGATCTCTAACATAAGAAGTAGAAGTTATTACCCATTCTTTGAAGGTTCCAGAGAACTATTCACGATAGTGAAATAGTGGGAGCTATCCTTAAACGAAACAATGGCAACGAAATTTGATATTGAAAAGTTCAATGGGAGAAATTTCTCATTGTGGAAATTGAAGATGAAGGCCATCATGAGGAAGACAGTTGTCTAGCAGCTATCAGTGAAAGGCCGGTGGATTTCACAGATGGCAACAAATGGATCGAAATGGATGGAAATGCTATGGCAAACTTTCATCTAGCATTAGCAGATGAAGTATTGTCAAGTATCGAGGAGAGAAGACAGCTAATGAGATATTGGATCATCTCACCAACTGTACGAGGCCACATCGCTGCACAATAAAATTTTTCCTTAAGAGAAAATTGTACACTCTCCGTATGCCAGAATCTACTTCAGTGACGGAGCACTTAATACACTGAACACTTTATTTTCTCAACTTACATCCTTAAGCTGTAAATAGGAGAACAAGAACGTGCTGACTTCTACTTCAAAGTCTACTGATTCGTATGATCAACTCATCATCACTTGACAACACAATAATGTCACCAGTCTAGTCTTCGATGACGTTGCAGGCTGTTCTACAAGAAGAAAATCGCGCAAGAACAAGGAAGACAGATAATAAATCTGCAACAAGCAGAAGCGTTGACAACGATGAGAGGGAGATCAACAGAACGTGGCCAAAGCAGCAGTCACAAACATGGTAGATCGAAGTCGGAAGTAAGAAGAATTTAAAGTGTTACAACTGTGGAAAGAAGGGTCACTTGAAGAAGGATTGTTGGAGTCTAAATAAAAACTCCAATTCACAACTTCAGATGATGGAGATGCTCATGCTGTGAAGTGTCAACCATCGTGGAAGGAAGAAAACGATTTGTTGATATAAGGCATTGATTCGGGAGTAACATATCACATGACCTCAAGAAGAATGGTTCCATCATTA